CAGGGAGCCCGATGTGGGACTCGATCCCGGGACTCCAGGATCATGACCTGAGCTGAAGGCAGTTGCTTAACCAACTGAGCCACCCAGGCGCCCCTGCCAAGTATAGCTTAATTACAGTCTGGTCTCAAAAAAATGGTACAACTTTGCAACATGTTGCCCTGTTTCCTCTCTACCCAGTATCCCACAGATATATTAGTCAGTGGCTTCTGGCCAGGATCTGGTCTTCCTGACTTCCAATTTGATATTTGAATTATGTATTTGAATATTCTTTCTTTCCTTTCAAATCTCTCAGTCTCTACTACATCTTCCTGTTTGGTCCCCACTTCCACTGCCAGAGATAAACAATTTACAACTGATTTTTAGCATAATTCTGACACTATCTACAGTGATTTACTCAGGACATATCTTTCATTATCTATCATAGGCTTATAGAATAATTTATGTACCCATACAAAGCCTATTATAAACAAAAGAATTATCAGACTTTCAGCTTCAGAGGGTTATTTTTCCACAGCAGTCAGTGGAGAATCACTGGAGAAGAGGACTGTTACATCTTTGCTCCAGTGATTCTCATTTTGGGATTAGGCTGAGTGAGCAAGAAATATTACTCATGAAGATCACTTACTGGTATTAGGATCATTAATACTGGGTACTGAAGACCCCTGAATTAACAGGAGATATCAATGTACCTTAAGAAAATGAAATCCAGTAGAACACAATTGGTTTCTCTTAGGGTCTACTTTATATTGTTTCAATGGGACTCTGAAACTCACAGAATCCTACTTCTAAGGCACCACAATGATCAATGCCACTATTCAAAAAGAAAGGAACAGAGAGGAAATTGTATAGAGTCACTTACAAAACTAGTAAGTGGTAATATAAGAAACTGGGCAAACTGGAAATGAACTTGAAAAACATTTAAATCATACAGTTCATAATTTTTTTAAAAAACTATAAGTGCCATATGGCAGTTTCCTAGTTCAACAACAACTTTTGCTGACCTGATGCTAAATTCAGTTATTTCTAGCTGTTGAACGAATGGCCTCAACCTCAGCAAACAGATTTCTTAAAGCGTACATATTTCATTGTCTTCTAAATACTAGTGTTCTGGGGCAAAACTCTGAGGGCAAAATCACTAATTTAGTTACTGCTCAAAACAGTTCATCCTATACAACTTTTCTGTGAAACAACTTCCAAAAAGAAGTTGAAGTTACATTAGAATTCTTTAAAGGGAAAAAAATAAAAAAAAAAAAAAGAATTCTTTAAAGGGACAAATTTATTTTTAACCAGTATGCTTTTTTCCCTCTGTATCACTACTCTAAAAATTAGATATATCCTAGGAAGCAGAAATTAAATCATGAGATTCTTATTTTTAACATATCAACATACCTTGTCCAAAGTTGCTTTCTTCCAAATGTAAGTCAACATGTTCCTGGAGAATATGGTAATTTGTACAGATGAGCCCACACATAGGGCAGTCATACAGTGGTTGATCATGGTCTGTTTTAGAGATATAATTCAGTTGATTTTATTTTTAAAACTTTTAGATTTTTTTCACCCTAAGTCAAAGATTGTCCACTGCCCACTAACCTTATTAAATAAGTAAAAGCTCTTTGTAGTTGGATTTAAAGCTATTTTATACTTCTGGGGTCAAAATGGAAGATTGAGCATAAGCACACATCTCTCTTACCACTATAATAAAAGAAAAAATTAATAATAAATATTCGGATCTGTGGTCAAAGCAAGAAAAGAAAAGTATAAAGGAAAATCAAAACGGTAAGTAGGGGCCAGTCTATGCATGAATTTTAGGGGCTAAGTTATCAGCACCCTCCTTCCAAACTAAATGCTGAGGTACAAAATTCAACATAAAGCCTTCAGCATAAAGCTTAGAACTGGGATCATACTGCCTAACTGGAGCAGGAGATCAAAGAGCTGCATCCATCAAGCAGCACGGCAAGTAGATAGGTGTAGCTTGCCCAGGCCAGAAGGAGTACCTCTGCAAAAACCAAGACCTGACTGATACTGGGCACAGAAGAGGGACCCTGAGCACTGAGCCGAGCAATCCATACATGTAAGGCCTGATCTGGAAGTGGAATAACTATATTTAGAAAGTAGCTGAGACTGCTAGACAGCTGTTTATTTCCACAAAATGAATGTGACCGGTCTCATTTTAGGTGGATCAGCTGACCTTAAAACTGAACTAAGTCAATCTGATATGTTTGGAGAGCCGCTGCAGTCAAAAGATTTAAAATTAGTTGATATATCCTATGGTGGTGAATATGGAAACCAGGCCATTGAGTTATCTACTGAGGTAAAATTCATTCAAACAGAGATATTAATTCAACATTTTGGTGAAAGCAGCCAGAAGACAGATAAGTACTGTTTTGGAGATGAAGATACACTAAAGGCTTTGCAAGTGGGAGCTGTAGAGATTCTAACAGTTTATGAAAATCTGGATATTATGAGAAATGTTCTTCATTGCCAAGGCACAGAAGAGGAGAAAATTCTCTAACTGAAGAATAAGAGAAGGATAAATCTCATTTCACTGACAGGACAGGAACATGAACTGATTGAGAATATGTCCCTCCTGGAATGGTTTGCTCACAACTATTAAAAATTTGGAGCTACACTGGAAATTGTCACAGATAGGTCATAAGAAAGATCCTAGTTTGTGAAAGGATTTGGTGGAACTGAAGTATCTTGCAATACTGAGCTGATTTCCATGGAATGGAATACCAAGGAGGAGACGATGAATTTTTTTACCTTGATGACTAGCAGGTAGTTGACATGGGTCCCAGAAAATGTGCCTCATCCTGCAGCAGCCAATCAAGGAACATACCTCTGGTGGAATCCAAATAGATCTCTGCCTTACAACTGGACCATTTTCAGAACTTAATCCAGGAGCACTGGCTACTGAAAACAACCAAACAAAACCAGACCCAACCCTATACTTGGCTTTGTCATTGTGTCAACACTGCAGCCTACGACTAAGTTCCTAAATGCTACCTTGGACTAATTTTAAAAGGAAACCCAGTTTTTATTTACTTGATGACCAAATTGGGTGCTCTTGTATTTTATGAAAAAAAATTTTTTAACCTTCATACATTCAAGCAAACATAATTTAAGTGCTATAAATCTTCAAAAGTTAATAGAAGTGACATCCTAAAAAAAGAAAGAAATGCTAGAGATCAAACACGTGGGCTTATTAGCAGGCTGGACATGGCTGAGGAAAGAATCTCTGAGTGTGAGATGAGAAAAGATATTCCCCAAAATTAAACGTAAAGAGAAAAAGACCCTCCCCCCAAAACCTCCCCCCATAAACATAAAAAAACAAACCCACAATCTCCAAAAACTGTGGGAGAACTGCAAAAGGTAGAACATACACAAAATGGGAATACCAGGAGAAGAAAGAAAGGAACAAAAGTATTATTTAAAGCAATAAGGTCTGAGAGTATCCCCCAAGTTAATGTCAGACATCAAACTATAGATCTTGGAAGCTCAGAAAACACCAAGCACAGTAAATACGAAAAATTACATCTAGGCACATCATATTCAGACTTCAGAAAAATCAAAGATAAAAAATCTTGAAAGAAGCCAGAGGGAAAAAACACCTTGCCTATAGAGGAACAAAGATAAGAATTACATACAACCTCTCAGAAGTCATTCAGGTAATAAGAGAGAGGAGTAAAATATTTAAATTTTCCAGAAGAAAAAAAACCCCCACCAACCTAAAATTCTGTACCATTCAAAATTATCCCTCAAAAGTGAAGGAAAAATAAAGAATTTCTCAGACAAAAATTGAGGGAAATTGTGCAAGGAATGTTAAAAGAAGTTCTTCAGAGAGAAGGAAAATTATATTGGTCAGAAACATGGATATCCTTAAAGGAAGAGCATCAGGGAAGAAACAGGAGATGATAAAATAAAAACTTTTATTTTTCTCATTAATTGATACAAAAGGTAAGTTTATTCAAAATAAAAATAGCAACAACGTATTAAATTATGTGTGTGTGTGTATATATATACGTATATACATGTGTGCTTACATTTACTTGAAATGAATGATAGCAATGACACAAGGGATGGGGAGGAATTAGGAATATCTTATTATTATAAGGTCTTTGTACTCATATAGTGATACAACGTTATTCAAAAGCAGACTTGGATTAGTTGTTAATGTATACTGCAAACTCTAGGCCAAGGACTAAAAAAGTAAAAACAAGTGTAATTGATATGCTAAGAAAGGAGAGTACTGAGCAAGTGACATCTCTTGCCTATTATCAGGAGTAGAAGTCCAAATGCATCTTGATATCAGAATCGCCACGGAAAACAATGCTGTCAAGTACTAGACAGAACACTTGACTCACAGTAAACAGAAAGAGCAAGATCTTCTTCAGTATTAGACATTAGTCTGCCATGGCCAGTGGGTCACTTCCAGCAGCCCACACAGGACAATTGGTCTGTACACACCTCTCTTGCACCACAGAATGAAAGATGTCATCCCCTTCCAGCAGAGGATAGATTTAGCATTAAGGCTGTTCAGGTGCCATAGGACACACATGCTTAAGCAAAACAAAGGAGTATATATTGTTGCCTGAAACAGGGAAAGATATTTCCATACACAGGCTGTGAGAACTCTATCTCTTGAGAAGGAAGTGTTCTAGGCCTAAGGATCATTCTTATGTGGCCAAATAGGGTCAAAAGACTACATGCATGAACTGTTTTTCCCCATGGAGAGAAAATAAAATCATACGAAATGCTCAATTAAACCACAAAATCAGGAAAAAAGTCGAAGACAAAAAAAGAAGCAAAGAACAAGGGCAACAAATAGAAAACAATAACAAATATGGTATATTAATCTAACTATAGGAATAATCACTTTAAACATCACTGGTCTAAACATACACATTAAAAGACAGATTATCAAGGTGGAGCAAAATATAAGACCTACCTGTGTGTTGTCTACAAGAAATTCATTTTAAATATAAATACACATACAGAAGGGCGCCTGGGTGCCTCAGTTGGTTAAGCATCCTACTTGGTTTGATCTCATGGGTTGTGAGATGGAGCCCTACGTGAGCTCTGTGCTCAGTGGGGAGTCTACCTGAAGATTCTCTCCCTCTTCCTATTCACACACCCCCTCAAAAATAAATAAATACATCTTAAAAAAATACAAATATAGATTAAAAGTGAAGGGATAGAGAAAGATACATCATGCTAACACTAACCAAAACCAAAACCAAACAAAGATCCGGAGTCAGCTAATATTAATTTCAGAGAGGGCAGATTTCAGAACAAGGAATGTTATCCAGGATAAAGTGGGGCATTACATAATGACAAAGGGTTCAATACTCCAAAAAGACATAAAAATCCTTAATGTGTATGGGCCTAAGAGAGTGTCAAAATACATGAGGCAAAAATTAACAGAACTGCAAGAAGAAACAGGCGCATCTGCTATTATACAGTTAGAGAATTTTTAACATTACTCTTTTAGAAGTGGACAAATCCAGCAGGCAGAAAGTAAGGATATAGCTGAACTCAACAGTACCATCAATCAACTGAATATAATTGATGCTTATACACAAGTTCATCCAACAGCAGAATACACATTCTACTTAAGCTCATATAAAATATTCACCAAGACAGACCACATTCTAGGCCATCAAACATAATTTAGGCCCTTAAAGCTTAAGAAATTTAAAGAATTAAAGAATTATAATCAAACAGTCTGCTCTCAAACTACAAGGGAAATAAACAAAAATTAAGAGAAAGAGCTGAAAAATCCCCAAATACTTGGAGATTAGACACACATTTAAATAATGTACCAAAGAAATCTCAAGGTAAATTTTAAAATATTTTGAAATAAATGAAAATTAAAATACAACTTAAAGTTTGTGCAATGCAGCAAAATCACTGCTTAGAAGGAAATTTATAACATTCTACGCAATCACCTAGGTTTCCACTACAGGAAACTAGAAAAAGAAGAACAAGGTAAATCCAAGATAAGCAGAAGAAATTAAAAAAAAAAAAATAGAGCAGAAATCAATGAAATTGAAAACAGAAAACCAATAGAGAAAAACAATGAAACCAAAGGCCTCTAGCCAAGCTATCGAAGAAGAAAAAAGAGAACACAGATTGTTAACACCAGAAATAAAAAAGGGGACATCACATATCCCATGTACGTTCCAAAGATAATAAAGTTATATTATGAACTATGCCACAAGTTTGTAAACTAGATGAAATGGACCAATTCCTTGAAAGACACAACTGGGCAAATTAATACAAAAAAAAATACTGAGGTAAAAACTTAACAAAATATAAAGACATACATGAGAAAAAATACAAAATTCTGATGAAAGAAATCAAAGAAAAACTATGTTGAGATATTTCTTGTTCATGATAGGAGGACTCCATATTGCCACAATGTCTATACTTCCCAACTTGATCTATAGATTCCAGACAATCACAATAAAAAATCCCAGCAAGTTATTTTGTGGCTATTAAGTAGCTGATTCTAAAATTTATATGAAGAGGCAAAAGATCCAGAATAACCAATACAATACTGAAGAAGAGCAAAGTCAAAGGACTGGCTCTACCAGACTTCAAAACAGTAGAAAGTTACAGTATCAAGACACTGTGGTACTGAAAAAAGAACAAATAGATCAATGGAACAGAACAGAGAGCCCAGAAATAGACTAATAGCCCAGTCGACTAATCTTTGACAAAGCAAAGACAGAACTATGGAGGAAAGAAAATCTTATCAACAAATGGTGCTGGAACATGTGGACATCAAAATGCAAAGAAAATGAATCTAGACTCAGACCTTATGTCCTTCACAAAAAGTAACTTGAAAATGGATCACAGACCTAAACTTAAAATGTGAAACCACAAAACTCCTAGGACATAACATAGGAGAAAACTTAGATGACTTAGGATATGGCGATGAAAACACCAAAGGCATGATGAAGTTACAAAATAAATGATAAGGTAGACTTCATTAATATAAAAAACTTCTGCTCTGCAAAAGACATTGTCAAAGAGAATAAGAAGACAAGTCACAGAATGGGAAAAAATATTTGCAAAAGATACATGTACTAAAGATCCATTATCCAAAATATACAAAGAACTCTTAAAAATCAACAATAAGAAAACCAAAACCAGATTAAAATGTGGGCTGAAGACCCTCACAGACACTTTACCAAAGAAGATATACAGATGGTAATGAGGCATACAAAAAGATGTTCATTTATGCTTATGAGAGAACACTTCAAATTAAATTAAGATGAGATACCACAACACAAATATTAGAATGGCCACAATCTGGAACACTGACAATACCAAATGCTGGTGAGGATGTGGAGCAACAGGAAATCTCATTCACTGCCACTGTGAAAGAGTTTGGCAGTTTCTTATTAAAACTAAATACACTATTATTATACAATCCATTAATCACATTCCTTGGTATTTACCCAAGTGAATAGAAAATTTCTGTCCATATAAAAACCTGCATGTGGATATTTAAAGCAACTTTATTCCTAATTGCCAAAACTTGGAAACAACCAAGATGTTTTTCAGTAGGTGAATGGATAAATATACTGTAGTACATCCAGACAATGTAGTCTTATTCAGCCCTAAAAAAAAGAGCTATCACGCCGTGAAAAGACATGGAGAAAAACTTAAATTGCATATTACTAAGTAAAAGACATCAATCTGAAAAGGCTATATACTGTATGATTCCAATGACATTCTGAAAAAGGCAAAAATACAGAGATAGTAGAAAGATCTGTGATTACCAGGGGTTGGGGTTGGGGAGGGGTGACTAGATGGAGCACAGAGGATTTTTAGGGAAGTGAAACTCTTCTGCATGATAACTAAAATGGTGGGTAGTTGTTATTACACATTTGTCAAAACCTATAGAATATACAATACCAAGAATGAACCTTAATGGAAACTAAGGATTTTGGGTGATAATGATGGGTCAGTGTAAGTTCATTGATCATAACAAATGTATCACTTGATACAGATATTGATAGTGGAGGAGGTTGTGAGTATATGAGGACAGTGAGTACATGGAATTCTCTGTACTTTTTCCTTAATTTTGCTGTGAGCCTGAAACTGCTGTAAAAAATATTTATTAATTTTAAAAAAGTGAATCTAGACTCTCCTTACACCTTTTAAAAAAATAACTCAAATGAATCACAGACTTAAATGTAAAATTCATAACTATAAAACTTCTAGAAGATAACATAGGAAAGGTGACCTTGGGTTTGGTGATGAGTTTTTAGATACAACATCAAAAGCACAATCCATAAATGAAGAAATCAAGTAAGTTGCACTTCATTAAAAGTTAAAACTTCTGCTCTGTGAAAAACACTGTTAAGAGAATGAAAAGACAAGCTCCAGACTGAGAAATATCTGCAAAACACGTATCTGATAAAGGACTCATATCCAAAATAAACAAATTACTCTTAAAATTCAACAGTAAAGAAAAAGAGATGATTCTAAATGTACTGTATTCACCAACAACAGAGCCTCCAAACAGATAAAGCCTGAGAAAGCTGAAAGGGAAAATAGACAAATACACAATTATAATCGTGGACTTCAACAACCTCCTTTCAAAAAAGGCTAGACAGGAAATCAGAAAGGATATAGAAGATCTGAATACAAACAAAATGATCTAAATGACAAATTTAGAACACTCTAACCATTGACAACAACAGCAGAATATATTTCTCTTTCCCAAGTGTCCATGGAATATGTACCAAGATAGATCATATACAATACCTTGGTAGATAAAACAAGTTTCAACACATTTAAAAGAACTAAAATCATAGAGTGTGTTCTCTGATCATAAGGGAGTGAAACTCAGAACCACAGAAAATCAGAGTCCAAGACAGTTCAGATGCCACTGGGCTGGTGTTAAGAGAATGCCCTCTGAAAAATGGACTCTTAATATATTCCTCCTCAGAAAGGTTCTAAAACTACTCTCAGTGTGGTTGAAACATTTATTATCTGAATAAAAAATTCTTTTCCACAACTCTATTTTTATATCGTAATAATAGCAAATGAACAACGTTATAAGCTGAATTTAAAAAAAACACATTTGCAGTAATCTGATTTACAAACCAACTTTTAGGACACCACATATTAAACTGACACTACTGTTACTTATTACATAAAATGAGTATCTTACCTTCTGATGGAGTGTCTAAAAGATCAGCATGCTTTGTTTTCACATGATTTTCCATATCTTGACTACAATCTTCTATTCTTCCGCAGAACGGACATTCGGGAGGACTATACGTTGTTTCATAAATTGATCTTTTTATTTTAGATGGGTCACACTCTTTTTCCTTACTTTTAAGGAATTTTCTAGATTCAGTTAAGTTCTCCGAATAAAAGGCTTTATGTTTTAAAGTACCATCATTAGGCAGGCTTTGAGCTGAAATTTTTGGATGATTAGATGCACAAGCTGAATGGACACTAGAATTAACTTCCATTCTACACTGTAAGGTGTCTTTCCTGTTATCTGAAGTTCTAATCGGTATTGTATTGATCCTCTCAAAGCTTCTTTCTAGTTCATTTTGCTCAAAATGAGCAGTTTCAATATGAAAACACATTTCATCATAATTCACGCCTGACAACTTGCAAAATGGACATATAACTTCATTTTCCATGTGAACAATTAGGAGGTGAGCCTTCATGTCTGGTTCTGAGGTTACTGTTTCACCACAAATATCACAAGAAAGCATAGTACATCAGGTAGCTAGAAAAGAATATAATATTATTTTAAGTTTGAAAGACTGAAGAAAAAAATGCATTCTATAAAATGATTTGAAACAAATTTTTAACAAATATTTAAAGCTGGAATATTTGAAGATATTTTTGATGTACTTAACGTTTCCTCAAATGCACAAACTTCATTATAAATCTCAACCAAAATTTCTCTACTGTATTTTAAGGTTAGGGTTTCAATAAAATAAAAGCAATAATAGTTCAAATTAAAATAAATAATTTTTAATATATTTCAAAAAGCATGTCTGGTCTGAGGGAGAGAAGAAAATAATGTTTATAAAATTGCCCAAGTATGGTAAGTCAGTTAAGAGAAAACGAAAAGAAATCTTATCAACTGGTCTATCTAAATACAGAAACTTAAAGTTGTTAACAATGGGGAGGGTAAATAAATACATCTTACTAACAGGAGTTAACAGTTAAAGAGCTTTAGATATATCAAAGTAATTTAAGTAGCATTATTATCATCCTATATGGAGGAAACCCTGGCTCAGATAGGTCACCAAGGCCAGAAAATGGTCATCCAAAATGCCAATTCAGTCAAACGCCAAACGCTGTCCTCTCAACCCAAATAAAAAGAGTGACCATGGTAGCAAAGAACACAGATTCCAGAACCAAGAGAACTGGATTGCAATCTCACGTTTCAGAATTTTAGGTAAGACAGCTCATGTCTTTGAGGTTTGGTCTATAAAATGAATTGTACTAAATCAGCAGTCACTTTAGGGTTTTATGGACTAATAAAGTACTGGGTACGGACAAAAGGTGATTTTGTTTAGAATTTTTAAAAAAGCAATCACAGCCACAACCTTCCTATGTCATTCAGCTAAGGACTATTTAAAAACGAAAAGAAAAATAAGGAAACTATTCCCACTATTTGAATAAATTTAGCTTTGTAAGAAGCTACATTGTCCTTATGTTTCTTATTCCCCTTCAGACAAGTGAAAATAGTTTCCGATTTTAGAAGGAAATTCTCCCAAACCACCAGTGGAAAGAACGTCAGTTTCTTCTTTTCCCGAGGCTGGGACACAGCTAGACAGAGGGATACGCTTGAACTCCCAAACACTCTGATAAGATCAAGTGGGTGAGAGATGTAAGGAGGCTATGACAGGTAACAGGCTGGGCAGGAGGTGAGAGAAGCCGTAAAGGCCGAATGCCACAAGGTCCAGTCTGCCCAAAAGTCCGCGCCAATGTCCAGGACCCGAAACCGGCCCAGACACTGACTGAGTCAAAGTTGAGGCCGGGGGAATAAGGGAAGGGACCGTTAGTTCCTACCGGCCCAAAGATCCGGCCGCGGTCACACTGCCTTACGGTTGGCTTCCCCTTCAGGTCCGCCGCGGACGCCGTCTGGCTCTCCCGCAGAGAAGTGCACGTTCAGCGCCGATTACCTTTCCCGGCCTGGAAGACTGGGACAGGCCCTCCCTACACCCAGAGATTCACAGTTAACCAAGACAAGACCCAGCGCCTCCAAAATACTTTCACTTCCATTAACACATTCAAAAAAGCTTTTCCTCTGTCAGCCGGAAGGAAAAGACTCCCAGCATGCACTGCTCCACGCCGGTCTGGGTTGTAGTGTTTTCTGGGAGTCGTAGTCTTTTTTGCATCCTCGGTTCAGGGTGATGACTCTAAATTTACTAGGAGGACACAAGGCTCTGAGAATTTTCAGAATGAATTCCTATGACGGGTACTAGGACATTACACGAGTACACAATACCCTAGGGCCTGACTGCCACGGTATATCAAGACAGGGGCCAAATCATGTAGGCTCTTGTAGAAAACTATTGGAATATTTAAACAGGAGAGTGGCATAATCTGATAACGTACAATATGTTAGGGATTTTGTGGTTTCATATGGCAGACTGAACATGTACATCTATATTCCCTGCCTCTCAAAATCTACTAAAATGACAGAATAAAAATAATAAAAATAAATGCTAATGAGATTTTAATAACATTTGAAAGCTAGAAAAAGGATGGATGAGTAGTAACTAACTTGCCTAAGAGAAGTCAACAAAAACAAATCGGTTTATACACCAGAATTCTGGAAATGTTCAGAAATTAAAGACCAGATACTTCTAAAAAACATACTAAAACTGGGCCTGAAAAGAGGAACATTTTGCTGAAAAGTCTGAATAAGGAGTAGTTAGTACTCTACCTCCAGATTTCCTCCATTACCAGGTTGCCAAGTGACTGATCTTTCCCTCCAAAACAGAAGGGTATAGGTTTGGTTTCATGAAGAAAACGAACCAGAAAGGCAATTAAGTCAGAAATGCACAGCTAAGAGTTGGGGGGAGGGGGTGTCAAGGTGTTGGACTGTAAGTGGGGAATAGTGAAAGCTAAATACTGAATTATGAGGCCATTCCCCCCCCATCACATTCTGATGTCTGATATGTGCCTTCTAGTAAGATTAGAAAATTCTTCTCCAGGGAAAATCATTGGTCTGAGAGAAAAGACCTACAGATAAGGGCTTTTAGAAAGTCCTCCAATGAAACAGCCAAGATCCCATGTTATTACTCCTTAGGGAGGGCAACAATTGGCAAGTAAACAATCAGCTGATACACAAGTTTACAATAGTTTTCTTTAGTGTCTCACTCTTAAATATGAATGGATACTCAAAGATCACCAGGCTTTAGAATACAGCTGTGGCAGGAAAGATGAAAACCAAAATGACCAAAAAGGAAAAACACTCTGAAGAATCAGAGACAATGAATGAAGGGGAAAAAAATACTTCAAGGAAACTACAATCGATATCTTCAGAGAGACAAAAAAAAAAAAAAAGATATTTAATTCCTGAATCAAAAATAGGAAATAGCTCTTGGGATTAAAAATACAATAGCAGAATTAAAAAATACAATAGCAGAATCTGTCTATCTACCTACCATCTATCTATTATCTATCTATCTATCTATCTATCTCTATCATCTATCCATCTAAATCCAGAGCTGGAAGATAATCCAAGAAATTTCTCAGAAAAGAAAACAAAAAGAACAAGAGATAGAAAACAGGATCTTCCTCAGGGCAGGAATCATGTGTTTTTTATCTTCTATATTCTAGAAGATAGTCTCTTTTCAATGCTGTTTGTTGAACCCCAGGGTGGATTACAAAGCTATGTGTGTTGTAATAATTTAGAATTCTTTATTTGGAAGTATTAATTTCATATATTAGTGACTACCTTTTTGTTAAAAATCCACAGATGTTATAGAATCCAAATTTTAAATAAATGGCAAATTGAAAAACTTGAAACAAATGAGCAGGACATACAGGAAGAGGTTAAAGCAGCTGAAGAAGGAAAGAGCCTCTGTAAAGCTCCACGAGGTTGGAATTTTTCCGTTATGTACACTATAGCAGCTCTAATATCTCAAACAGTGCCTAGCACAGATTAGGCCCTCCATCAATACTATTTTGTAGGACCGAATAATCAAACTAAACCAACGAATAAGTGAATGAATGAGAGCTCGCACAGAGGAGTAGGGCAGTAGGACACAGTGCTGCCACCGCGACCGCGCCCTATTAAAATCCCGGAGTTAGCGCAGCGGCCCGCTCCTCCTTCGGTGGGTGGAGCTGGGGCGCTCGCTTCTCTCCGTCCCTCTGCCGGTCGGTGCAGCTGCAGCCGCCAGCACTGCGGGCGCCGCATGCAAGGGCTTCTGGGAGCCGAGCCTCGGGGTCTCGGGGAAGGGGCGCAGGTAGCCGCCATCTTGAGTTGCGAACCTTGTCGTTACGCTCAACGCTAGGGGCGGAGTGGCGACCCCACTGTTACCTGCAGCGGACGCCGCAACCGGGAGCTGGGAAGTTAAGACACCGTGTATTGCCACATTAATGGGTAAGTGGGAGTGACACAGGCCAGTTTGGGTGAACCTCGGGTTTGGTCCCTTTGGGAGTTACTGGTCCCAGGGGCCACTGTTATTTACCCCTTTCCTTGCGAAGGCTTGAGGACCAGGCCATGCTGCCAGGTCTTTTTCCTCAGGTTCCCCTGAGGGAGACCGCGGTGGCGGGGGCGTGGCAGCCGGACCTATTCCTTGCTGACGCGAAGGTGCGGGGAATACAGATCCTCGCAGGCAGCCAGGCTGGCCCTCGGAAGGAGCCTTAAGCAGCCGAGCTCATCCTCCTGCCGTTCTGCTTCTCCGCGCCTTGGTAGTTCCTGTTCTCGGTACCCGGTCTTGTCAAATGTTGCCATTCACTCCTGGGACTCAGCGTCTGTGTGAGTCCCGCAGCATATTAGAAGTTCCACAGTGTCCAGAATACGGCAGTGGTGGCCCTGGGGCGGGTGGTAATTGTCGCACCGTCGCGTTCCGCCAGCTGCCTTCCTCCACCTGGATGCAGGTGCCTGGGAAGGCTCAGTGTGGACGCCGGCAGGGGTGGGTTAGATGCTTCTCTCTAATAGCCTGTCAGCTCCCTTCCAAGATGAAAATTTAGTAAGTGTTTCCTCGGTAATGCCTAAGAGATGAAGGATTTGAAAGCTGTGAAACGGGATAGTGATACTTCAAAAGAATACGACATCAGCATTTACTGTTAGGCTTTTAAAACATTTTTAAATTTTTTTTTAAACCTCTGATTTGATGTCTCTTAATTACACTCAGTGATTCATAAAGCGACTTTCTTCCTTGGTAAACAAGAAACAGCTCTCCCCTTTCTGTCTTTAAGTACTGCTTGTTTGGTTGTAGGGGTTTTAGTCAGCACTTTGGTACCGATGTATAATTGTACTAATATGCACCCAAGCCGTGGAAATGGAGTCTTTAGAGACACAAGAAGTTCCGTTAATAGATACTAAAAGAAGTTAGAATTCCAGTTACTTTCCCAACCTCAAAACAGTTTTTGAAAGAGCTGAGTGAAAAATAAGCTTTTGACTGAAAAAAGAAAAAAATACCTCTGTTGCGGATTTGAAGTATCTGAATAGCATTTCTTATATTTAAAATAACTTGTATGAGATAGCAACCTTTGAAATACGGTCTTTTAAAGTTATTTTCCAGAAAAGGGAACAATCCTGTTGGGTCAGGCACCTTTAGAGATGATTTTTCTTGGACTTTATGTCCCTTTTAAAGCAACTGCAGTGAGGATGCAGGTGTTAAATAAGTTAGTACTACATCAGAAAAAGGAACAAATGATATATGAGTTGTTGGGGGTAGATTTTATTTGGTTAACATATTTATATTAAAGGTTTTAATGTGGTCACCTAGAGTAATGGTTTTAAGAAGAAGTGTCCAGTGTGTAGGTTGTGGAGGCACAAGGTAATTGAATCAGGTATGGGGAGAAAATATTAAAACTTGTTTCTTTACCTTTTAAAAGTATTCCTTTCTAAAAATTTTCTACTAATTTTATTTATTTATTTATTTATTTATTTATTTAATGTTCAGTTTGCCAGCATATAGTACATCATCAGTTTTTGATGTAGTGTTCAACGATTCATCAGTTGTGTATAACACCTAGTGCCCATCACAACACATGCCCTCCTTTACTTTCTTAATGGGATAGATTATTAGATTAGTAATACTTGTATATAAATAAACATTGAAGATGAATGCACAAATATATTTTGCATACATGAGGATATGTGATCAGAAGCTGTTAGAGGCCAATGGCCTGGAAAAGTCTAATGTAGGTGATAAATATTAAGAGGCTTATTGCTGTGAACATTTCATTTTGCTAAAATATTTTATACTTATTGAGCATAATTCAGCAACTAATGTTGAAGCCCAGTTTGCTCTACAATGAACTCATCTCTGTTATTCTCTTCCCAGAGCCTAACCTCTTATTAATGAGACAGAATTTTTATATATGAGATACTTAGGGAATAATGCTGAACATTGTTATTACTAATAAAGTTAGATTGAACTGTTTCTAATGATAAGTATTTGTAGGTCCACACAGTATTGTTGAAATCAACTCATTAAATACTTTAAGGAAGGATTTTGGTTGATTATAAATATACTTTAATTGCTAGAATTTACATGTGTTAGATTCAAAGGCACAAAATACTTTTTAAGTCATTCTGAAGTGTTCAGCCTATTCCATTCTACTTTTAGCTCCACCACTAATGAAATTTTTCTCCCTATCTTTACCAGTCATTATCAAATCTTATGCCTCATGTGGTACTTGGCTTATTGTAGGCACTTATATTTGCTGGATGAATCAATGAATGAATAAATTGAGTGGCTTGTTTTTAGTACTACTACAAATGAAATACTCCTTTGTCTTTTGAATTCCTTTCTTTTTCATGATTCTTACTTTCTTCTGATTCTCTCACCTATTTCTTTTTGGTTTCCTTTGCTCTTTCCTTTACCCCACTCAAAGGTAAACAAACATTCTCAGGATTTCTCCCTTGGCCATCTTTCTTTTATAGCTCTGCATGATCTTGGATGATCCTGAGTTTTGACCCATACTTTTTTTTTTTAAGTTTTATTGATTTTATTTGACACAGAGAGAGAGCACTAGCAGGGGGAGTGGCAGGCAGAGGGAGAGGGAGAAGCAGGCTCCCCACTGAGCATGATCCTGGGATCATGACCCAAGCCAAAGGCAGACGCTTAACCATCTGAGCCATCCAGGTGCCCCTTGACCCATACTTTTAACCGTCCTAGGTCTTAATCTCCTGTATGTGCCCTATTTTATAAGTATAATACGTTTAAAATGAAAGTTACTATACATCTATTAGAATGGCTACAATTACCAACAAAATATGACAATACCAAGTGTAGGCAGAGCATAGAGCAACAGGAAGTCTTATACATTGCTGATGGAATACTTTGCAGTTTGGCAGTTTCTTATAAAATGTGAAGCATACACTTGCCGTGTTATCCATCAGTCCTACTTCTAAATATTTACCCGAGACAAATGAAAACTTACATTTACACAAAAACCTGTACATGAATATTTATAACAGATTTATTCATAACTGCACTAAACTAGAAACTAATGTCCTTCAACTAATGAATGGATAAACTGTGGAGTATCTATGCAATAGAATACTACTCAACAAGAAGAAGGAATAAATTATTTATATATGCCAACAGTATGGATCTCACAAATGCACTGCTAAATAAAAGAAGCCAATTTAAGACTATATACTGTTATTATTCCATTTATGGTGAAATTCAAGAAAAGTCAGAACTGTGAAGATGGAGAACCAATCAGTGGTTACCAGGTATTAAGGGTCGGAGAGGGGTTAATAGGAGCAGCATGACCAGGTTTTTTAGGGGTCATGGAGCTGTTCTGTATCTTGATTGTGATAGTTTTATGCCTGTGCATTTGTCAGATTCATAAAACTTTATACCAAAAGAGTGATTTTTTTTACTGTATATAAATTAAAAAATAGGGACACCTGGGTGTCTCAGTTGGTTAAGCATCTGCCTTTGGCTTGGGTCGAGATCCCAGGGTGCTGGGATCAAGTCCCGTATCGGGCTCCTTGCTCATCAGGGAGCCTGCTTCTCCCTGGGCTTGCCGCTCTCTCTCTCTTTCCATCTCTTGCTCTCTCTCTGACAAATAAAATATTTTAAAAAAATTTAAAAATAAAACAATTCATTGTTTTCATCTCAAAAACAAGCAGGCAATCAAACAAAACCATCACTCTGATACTCCATCTTTATTTCCTGTCTTGGCTTATTTTGTTGCCATACTGAAATAGATCAAGCTAAAAACCAAGGAGTCATCCTAATCTCCTTTTTCTTCTTGACCACATATTCCTTACATTTATTTGGTCTCTAATTCTTATTGAATCAATTTCTGCAGTGTTTCAGAAATCAACCAGTCTCAGTGCAGCTGCTAATTTAGTTCAGGTCTTCATCATCAAAGTTTGAAACAATGTTCTTTTCAATTTTTTTAATTGTTACTTAGGACCAAATCCAAATTTCTCAACCTGATTGCAGGAACCATATGTGTTCTTAGTTACCTTTCTAGCTTTACTTCCTGCCTTTTCTCCCACAAATCTTCTCGTTTAGGCACGCTTAATCTCTTATTGTTTTGTGTTTATGCCAGTCTTCTGCAAGAACCCTTTGCCTTTGCATATATTCCCTGTGCTTGAAATGCTTCTTCCTTCCCGATTTTCCCTTTGCATCCTCTTCCCTGACAAATTCTTGCTCTTTTAAGATAACCATCAGAGCTCCCTAAGGCACAGTTAGTTGCTATTTCTTCTATGCTCTCTCAGGATTTAATGCATATGTTTTAGTGTACTTTACTATTTCGAGTATAATTTACGAGTTCAGTAGTCTATCTTCGACATCAGAGATGGCAGATAAATGCCAGCCTTTCCTTTTCTTCTGTTTACTTCCTAAGTGTTAATTGATCACAACATTCTCTCTGGTTTCTAAAAGTAAAATTGTCTTATTATTTTAAATGTAAAATGTTATGTAAAATATTATAAATATACTTATAAGAATATGTTTATATAAATGTTAATGTTTTCAAATACATTTATAATAAAATTACTTAAAATAAAGTATACAGGTATTTCAGTATTTAAAAAGAATTATACCCTAGTATTGCAGATTATTTTTGCAGTCATGACTGAAGTCATGACCTATGCAGCCTTAGGTCTGAAGACAGCACCTTAAGTAAATTAAAGAAGCCAGGCCCCGCAAAATATTTGAGGGATGCTTATTGAAGCCTAATATCATATTCCATTGAAAATAAGATACTTCACTCTGGCTATCTTTTGATCTTGCCAGGAGCTGTAGAAGTTTTTTACCCAACTATTTCATGATTGATTATATCCTGGCTGACAGTGATTTTAAGATGCATCCCACTTCAGAAAGGTTAAAACACCAGGCATTGGGGAGTGCATCTTAAAATCAGTGAAGTTAGGGTAATGACTTTATCTGTGTTTAGACCAAAATCTATTATTTGTTTGATAGTTTAGTCCAAAAATATTTGGTCACTTTGCTCCAATTTTGATATGGGAATGAGGGAAATGTATTCTTTGTACATAATTTTCAGAATTGATTTTGTCAGTCTATTTAAGTAGTAAGCATGAACTTAATTTTCCTAGTAAACATCTCATGTTGTTTTGAGAATATCAGTATCTGTTTTTTTTCTTTCCTAAAGATGCCATGGCTAGTCCAGGGAAAGATAACTATAGAATGAAAAGTTACAAGAATAAAGCCCTAAATCCCCAAGAGATGCGTAGACGAAGAGAAGAAGAAGGAATACAGCTTCGAAAACAAAAAAGGGAAGAGCAGGTAGGTGTTTTAAAATATTTAAATGTTTAACACAGAAGCATCAATATATAGATTTTAGAAGTTACATTATTATTGCTTATTTTTAGATAATTTAAAAGGAAAAAGTGTTTTTAGGAAATTGAATATAAATAAATCTGTTCTTTAATTTACTAGACTCCAGGAGTAATTCATGAATCAGAATCCTGTGCTATTTTTAATCACTGAAGAGAACAGCTTTTCTGTTTTATTGATAAACCTTTATGTTAATCATATTTTATCCCAGTGTTAAGAAATTTTTACTATTGAGCCTATGTAGATCACTTCCATTTGTCCTTGTAAAATTTGCCCCCCCCGCCAAAAACATTGTATTCATTTGTTGCTTTGTGGTTTTCATACTTCTTGCTCCAAAGTTAATTAGTCCTCTTCCTATGCTACTCATACTATTCCTTCTATAGTCTCATCAGCCACCTAGCTCTCTTAGCCTTCTCTGTTTTGAACTTTATATATGTGACATAAGGAATAGAAAAACAGTTCAAAGAGTGCATCTCAATATTTTTCATTCCAAGATATACTTAAATTTAGAAGTATTTATAATTAAGAGGGTGTAGTCCTCACGTGCATGAACTAAAAACTGATGTGTAGAAAGAACTAGCAGTGATGAAAGTAGAGAAGGGCCTGTTTTAGAAATATGATTCGTCATCTCCCTATCTACAGTATCTAGCACAGTCCCTACTTTATTATAGTAGGGACTCAAAAAAAAAAAATCTGTTGAATGAATGATTAGAAAGAACTGTATACTGGTTGAAGAAGAGCAGTATTTCTTTAGCTATCAAAAAGAATATACCAGATTTTTTTCTTCTCTGTTTTGATATAGGAAATGTATCCATAAATCCCACTCAGTGACCTCACTGTGCCTCATTCCTCCTCTCTTTCTTTTTTTTAATTTTTATTCATTCCTGAAATAAAACGGATAGGGCCATATTTCCTCAGAGTTCTCTATTCCTTATTAATCTGATATGTGTTTATTAATATACCACAGTATTTCTCCCATGTAACTAATTTGCTTTTTTATTAAGATTTTCTTAGAAAAATTCTTAGACTTCTCATATACCAGTGTGAACATATGTGCTTTTTCAAATGCTATAAAACGTAAATGTGTACTCCACTTATGGGACCAGCCATTGTTAAAGATCTGAGATTAAGAATGACCCAAAGCAATCTGCAGGTAAGAGCTAACCAAACCAGGAGAGTTTAACTTCTCAAAGATAATTTAGGTCTTCATGGTATAGTCATTGAGAAATGCTAAATATTTAGAATTTTAAATGATCAGTTTGTTTTGTTCACTTAAATGAAAAATATAAGTCTATGGGAATTCAGTGTTTTATGGAAAGCCCAGTGTATAAAGTGATTTCTCTTTATTACAGTTGTTCAAACGCAGAAATGTCTCTTTGCCCAGAAATGATGAATCTATGCTAGAAAGTCCTATCCAGGATCCGGATATCAGTTCCACTGTGCCCATTCCGGAGGTAGATATACAAAAATGTATTTCAAATTATACTTAAACAGTGTTTCAGAACTAGTAGGTATAGCAACAATTATTCATGTAAAATATTTAAATGATAAGTTATATTTTCTATGTTTTAGGAAGAAGTTATCACCTCAGATATGGTTCAGATGATTTTTTCTAACAATGCTGATCAGCAGCTAACAGCAACACAGAAATTTAGAAAGCTGCTTTCTAAAGGCAAGAATTATTTTCAATATGCTTGCTTATTTGATATTAAAAGGTTCTGTAATAGAGTTTTATTTATTAGATATTTTTTATTTTAAGACACTTTCATTGTCAGTAAGTCAGTAGGTCTTAATTTTTCTTTAAAATATACTTGTAAGTAAGGTCTATTTTTTTATAAAGTTTATTTATTTATTTAAAGTAGGCTCCAGTGCCCAGTGTGGGGCTTAACTCACAACCCTGAGATCAGGAGTCACATGCTGTACTGACTGAGCCAGCCAGGGAACCCTAAAAGAAGTCTTTTTTATCCTTTTTGTTATATAAATAGGGAATACTAACAGAGAAGTTCCTGGAGAACCACAGGAGCATACTTTTTGTTGAAGCCAAGAGAGAAGGAAGAGTTGTTGATAGATACTTAGATTGCCAGTAGCTGAAATATCTTGGTTTTAATTTTGCATATCTTTGTTTTAAAATTTCCTAGAGATTTTATGATTCTCAAAAGCCCTCTGCATTTCATGAAAATTTATGAAGAATCCTATATAGTTCAGTAGTATTTCTGTGAATAATGAATGATACCCCGACAGAATAGAATGATACCCCGACAGAATAGAATATCATTTGGCTGAGAAGCATTAGGTAATGGCTGATAGGTAAGGAGACATCTCTGGAAAGTGGGGTATATTAATAAAAGATTAGGGGGAAGATTATCTGTCAGTTGGTGTTTTGAGTATTAGGCTGAAATACTCCATGTTGTGAAGATGACATTCTAAATAGCCTTCAACTTATAATATTTAAATATTTGTGTAGAAAATATTTTAAAATTTTTCTTACTGTGATTAATGAAAAAGAATTTGCTTTTCAGTAAACATTGCAATTATGAGAACATTTGTTTACTTCAGTTAAATCCACCTAAGGCTTTTAAACTTGGTCATTGAAACCTAGGAAAGAGTTATTTTGTGCATCCTGTTAATTGACACAGGGACCAGGTTATTGTCTTTTTGTGTCTATGTAATAATTTAATTCTTTTTTAATTTTTAGAACCTAATCCACCAATTGATCAGGTTATACAGAAACCAGGAGTTGTACAGAGATTTGTGAAATTTCTTGAAAGAAATGAAAATTGTACTTTACAGGTGAGTTCTAAAGTTTTTTCTTAATCTCTTTCCAGAAATAACATATGATTAAAGTTTCTAGTGAACTTCTGCAATACTAAATATATTGTAAACATTCAGGAAATACTTGGCAATTAAAGGAAAAGGTAGTGCCACCTGTCTTGCCTTAGTCATGTTTGCAATGCTAGTTTTTTCTAGGGACTGTTACTTCATTAAAACAATTTTGGGAAAGCTATATAAAGTCATTCGTAATGTTAATAAAAATTTTGTAGTTGCCAACCTTTAATAACTTTTTCGTTTCAGAAAACCTCAAATTAAAATATTAATGGGTAAATTTTTTTGGCTCTTAGTTAATTAGAGTTGTAACTTTTTAATATAAACTCTTTTACCTTTTAAGACATTAGTCTGATTAGGTCTTTTTTTGGAAAAAAAACAAAAAACAAAAAACCCAAAAAAACGAAATCAATAAAATCTACTAAAAATGTGACCAAAGTTAGATTTGTCCAAATGAGCATTACTTCTCAGTTATATTGTAGTGTCAGTTATGTCTTCCAAATAATTGGCTGCTAACAGTAAATTACTGAAGTTTGCAAATATTTACTGTTTTTTAAAGAAAGATTGCTTTCCTGATTTCATTGCTATATATATTCTTAAGTAGGAACACAGTGTGGAATTACATCTATCAGGAATTGCACAAGACCTGCACATAGTTTATCAGTGCTATTGTCAGTAATGGAAGATTGTTACTGGTATTTGAATAATAGTTGTTGAAATTACAACTTAGAATAGTGTTCCACTGATCTGAGTAATTTGGGAAAGCTCCTCACATTTTAGATGATAAGCAAAGGAATGTGTTGCACACATGAATATTACCTATCATGATTTTTATGCTGAAAAATTTTGAGAGTGTTTACAATAAGGATGTCTGAGGAAAAAGCCACTTTATGTTATATATAGTGATACTGTCCATTAGTTTTCAAAGTCTTTAGGTGTTAGCTCAGTAAGGGCTAGAGGTCATGACTTCTAGTCCATTTGCTTCATATTTAAGCCCCAAGTCCAGACTAAAACCCAGGTCTCCTGATATTTAGTTTATTATTTGGCTTTTTAATTCTAAATGAATGAAAGAGGAAATGAGTAAATATGAATAAATAAAATTGAGTGTTAGTTTTAGCCATATATTGTGTGTAAAGGCATTGTATTACAAAATTAAAATATTGTTCCTTTGCAGACATTCTTCACTCTTTGTTGGGAAAGACAAACATGTAAACAGATCTGTGATGCCATAGTATGCTTAGTGCTATAACAGAACTATAAACAAAGTGCTTTAGGAGCACAGTGTAATAACTCACCTGTGTAGGGGAAGTTGAAGACAACTTCACAAATGTAGTATTGTGTGGCTAGTCATAAGGATGAACCTTTTCTGGATGAACCTGAAAAGAGGAAAATTAATTGTTGTGAGAACAGCATGTGCAAAAAGCATAGAGTATTCAAGAAGAACGTTGGGGACTTTGGCATTTATTAATCACTGAAGTTAAAACTTAATGAAATTCAACAGTATGGTCTTGGGATAGCTATAGCTTTGCCATACTACCCACATTCATATAAAATATGTTAGTTCAGATTATTGGTCTGTCGAAGAGATCTCCCAGCTGATGGCCTACCAGCCATATTGGCCTACAAACGAGTTTTATTTGTCCTGAATATGTTTTAAAAATGTGAATTAGATATTGGCCTTTAAAATATTGGAGAATTTCATATGAAAATCCAGATTTTTGCCGCCTTTTGACAAATCAGAAGAGTTGGCATTGCTGCCACACAGTAAAGGTCTAGTGGGGCTGAATAGTTGTGCCTCGCCCCCCCCACTTTAGAAAGTTACTTCCATTTTTTCCCTTTTTTTTAGAAAAATCATAGTCATGCTCTCTAGTTTGCTGTAATTCCCCACTTACTCATATCACTCCTTTTATTCTTAATTATCTGTTTTGTCAGCTTGTGAATTCACCACTTTTCTTTAATGCTTTCTCCTGGGGATACCTAGGAGAATTTTATGGAGTAAACTTTTAATTGTTCTTTAGTTTGTTTCTTTTTTTTTTTTTTTATTTGAGAGAGAGAGAATGAGAGACAGAGAGCATGAGAGGGAGGAGGGTCAGAGGGAGAAGCAGACTCCCTGCCGAGCAGGGAGCCCGATGCGGGACTCGATCCCGGGACTCCAGGATCATGACCTGAGCCGAAGGCAGTCGCTTAACCAACTGAGCCACCCAGGCGCCCCTAGTTTGTTTCTTTATAATTAGTTAGTACTATGGTCTTTTTTTTTTTTTAAAAAAATTCCTCCCTTAAAAATTTAGTCTTACACATAAGAACTACTTTTCATGCCTTTCAGTAATGCTTTTGGATGTGTTTTTATATTATTAATCATAGTGATATGTACCTTTCATGTGAAGAGTTGTCTATGTCAAATTTTTTTTTTTTTAAGATTTTATTTATTTATTTGTGAGAGAGAGAATGAGAGACAGAGAGCACGAGAGGGAGGAGGGTCAGAGGGAGAAGCAGACTCCCCGCTGAGCAGGGAGCCTGATGCGGGACCTCATCCCGGGACTCCAGGATCATGACCTGAGCCGAAGGCAGTCGCTTAACTGACTGAGCCACCCAGGCACCCTATGTCAAATATTTTTAAAGTTATAGTCACTCCTTAGTTTGCCTGTGGATTTGTAGATCATTTTCAGTTATTCACTAGTTTATTGTTTGGGAGCCATGGGTTGAATTTTCTGTTTCTTCTGTTACAAATCCATCACATTTAAGTATATCCAAATTTAAGTAGATTGACATGAGTGGCTTTTCAGAGGTTCTGCTGCTTACAGGAATACAAGTCCTGCCTGTGGCTCTGCTAATAGTGAACTTTTTGACTTCGAACAAATCATCTAAGTCTCTGGCCTTCTAATTTTCTTAATTTCTTAAATGAGGAGGTTGGAACTAGATGATCCATCCCTAAGGAAACAAAAGTACCTTTTACGATTCTAAGTTCCATAAATGTACTATTGCTCTATTAGTAGTGTCTCATTTATTTTTAAACTGCTTGCTTTAGGACACCTGGCTCACTAAATAGTAAGCATTAGGAGTTCTGGGAAATATAGTTTCAGATATGTTCATTTATTGTTCATGATTTTGAAAGTTTTCATTATATTCTTCTCAGTTTTTATTTTTCCAAATTGAGTCCTTTTTTAAAACTAAGGGGTTTTATTTATGAAATCTGATTAATCTTATTAATCATAAATCACTCTTTCAGGCTTGTCCAGCTAACTCCTTACTCCCTCTCTTCTTCCCTTTCTTTCTGACAATTCGTTGGTGCTTTCATTTATTCTACTTCTGTTTTTCCTTAGTTTGAAGCTGCATGGGCATTAACTAATATAGCATCTGGAACTTTTCTGCATACCAAGGTAGTGATTGAAACTGGGGCTGTTCCAATTTTTATCAAACTTCTTAATTCAGAGCATGAAGATGTGCAAGAGCAGGTATGTTTCTAATTTGAATGGTTATGTTTACTAGATTTTAATGTTCTCTTCAGAGTTGCATGTGCATTGCATTTGTTAAAATGTAGTAATTTCTCTTCAGTGTCAAATTAGAAGGAAGCCAGAATGAACTGTCTCAGGCATAATCCTGGGTTCTCTGTAAGTGTGATCTCAGGTATCAGAAATTACTATTCCTGCATATAAAAGAGCATACTGAGACTCAGAAAGTTAGTAATTTACCCAAAGTCACAGTGAATGGCTGAACCAAGTTTTAAACCTGGGCTGGTCTGACTCCTTATTCTTTGCATGTGCATAGATTATTTTGTTGTTTCTTTTTAAAATATCACATTATTTTCAATGCAACTGTTTTTAAATAGACATAAATTCTCATAGGGAAAATGTAATCACATATACTTTGTACGAATGAAATAAAATAAAATGTTTTGGTATTTTTGTTTTGAACTATTTTTATGGCAAATTGATCTGTTGATCTACCATTCCATTCATCTGTTTATTTTTATATATATTTTATATATATATATTCATCCGTTTTAGTTTTATATATATATATACACGGAGTTTTTTTCCCCCCACTTAATTGATATTGGGAGCCTTTTCTAATGGCATTATTTATTCTTCCAAGAAAATTTTACTGATTACTCATTATCTAGTCAGGTATGAACCATAATTTTTTATATATTCCTCAATTATATATTAGAGTTATTTCTAGCTTATTAATATTACAAAGAACATCATTATCAATCTGTATGTGTGTCTTGATTATTTCATTAGGAAAAATGACTTTAACCCTGGTAAAAGAAAAATTTTTCAAGTTCTTATTATGTATTTCAAAGTTGACCTCCAAAGAAGTTATACATACTAATTTCCCCACCAACAGAATGTTAGACTTCACAGGGTGAGAAATGTCATTACTTAAAAAGACTTTCCTTAAGGTGGCTCTATGGCATAGTTGGTTAAGGCGCCTGTCTTGTAAAAGATTTTTCTTAAAAGATAGAAAATAAACTTAGGCCTAGATTAAAAATATGTTAAAAATATTAACAAAATTTTTTTTTTTTTAAGATTTATTTATTTGACAGAGAGAGAGTGAGCAAAGTAGCAGGGAGGCAGGCAGAGGGACAGGGAGAAGCAGGCTCTGCACTGAGCAGGGAGCCTGATGCGGGGCTCAATCCCAGGACCCTGAGATCATGACCTGAGCCGAATGAACTGTCTGAGCCTTAACCGACTGAGCCACCCGGGCGCCCCTATTAACTCATGTTTTAAATGTTAAAATTTTCCCAATTGAAAAAGTAACTTATGTCTACTTTTGCACTTACTTGAAAAATTTGAAGTGAGCATATAATGAAATGATATTTTGCATAACTTGTCATTTAATTGAAATTTAGTAAGTGAATAATTCGATATTTTACCTAAATTATTTAAAAAATTATAATGAACCTGGACTAATTCTAAACTTATTTTCAGAGATCAGTCAAAGCTAATTCTTGTAGTAGCTTTACTTCACTTTCCTATATTTTGTTTCTCCTTCCCTTCTTTTACAAATGAGTCCCTTCCCAGTGAGTGGATTACTTGGCATAGGAGCAAACCTCTAGAATAGGTAATTGCAAAATTCACTAGATTGATGTATTTTGTCTTTCCATGTAGATTCAGAGTAGACAGACTATCTCTTTGTTGAACAGAATAAACATTTCACTAGTATGTAATGAAGAAATTTTAATGCCCTATCCTTCAGTTGGTTAAAAATATTAGTAAATGGTACTTTTAAACTTTCTTTACTGTCCTACTAGCATTTTTTTTTTTTTTTTTACATCTTGGAAACTATTACTTTGTTCATTTTGTACTAAAATCTCATTCTTAAGAGAGAGCATCTTATTTAAGATATTGTAACAGAATATTTTTTTCTCATTTTTCTAAGGCTGTTTGGGCACTTGGTAATATTGCTGGTGACAATGCAGAATGCAGAGATTTTGTTTTGAATTGTGAAATACTTCCACCTCTTTTAGAGTAAGTACTTTATCACAAATTAATACTAGTTTTAGAGAAGAAAACTATATATTCTACACTATAATTCTACATACACAATTATGTTCTTCAGTGGAGCTTTTAAATTTGGGGTATGTTTAGCTGTATCTCCAAAAGCAATAACTTAAAGGTAGGTAAAGCGAACAAAAAAATTCCAATTTTATCGTTTCTTTTATATTTTCTTAAGTTATACGTAACAGTGTTTATTGTGTACTTGATGCTTACTGTGCTGAAATAATAATTCTACAAAATAAGGATATGTAGTAGTTTTTAGTACAATAAAAATTTAAGTTTTGCTGAAGAAGGGAATCTTTAGTACATGAACAGATGATATATTTAGGATATCAGGTTTTTATATTTGATGTTGAAATGTTCAGAGAACAAAGATCATAAGACATTTTTCTTTTGGAATTATAATTAAATGACTTATCTAGTAGTTTCTTTTTCAAATACATTACACACTTTTTAAAAAAGCAGTTACCCTATAATGTAAGGACCTTTACAGAAAATACGTAAAATTATTTGAAAGGTAGATTTCCTTTATTCATCTTTGTTAACATTCACTAAGAGGACTTTTTTTTTAGACTAGATGCTACTGGCAAGTAGTGAAAAAGAAAAAACTAATTGAGGAGATGGTTAAAAGGAAAATTTTATCATTTCTACGCTATTAGCCATTCTCTTCAAGCTGAAGAATGGAAAGGAAGAATAAATTTTTAGTTACGAGTTTGCAAAAGATATTTTATTCTTTTAGAGAGAGTAACTTTCCATGGACCAAGTGATTTCACAGCATTTCACTCAACTAACATTGAATACTTAACTATGTGCAGGCCACTGAACCACTTGCTATAATGTCATTAACTTTGGGTTTATTCAAAGTTAATGTTCCACAGTATTTGAAAATTTAGCTGAGCTGTAAAAGAAAATACTGATTTAGAGTTCAATATCAGAGTTATTTTGAAATTCATATATTAAAAGTATCTCTTAAATTTTCAATTTGAGATTTTTCTGGCCTGATTATATGGTTCATAGATTAACTGAGCACTTTGTTTCTTTTTACTTGTGCTCTCTGTCTCATTTTCTTATTTGTTAATATCTCAAGTTGGTAATGGTTTCTGAAGTAGTAAGTAAGCATTTATTAGTTCTAATTCCTTTAAATGTTCTAAGGAGTTTTAATCGTGACCAAAGAAACCAAACTAAAAAAGCTGTAATGGAGAAAAAGTACTCAGCTATGTTGTGCTAGTTACAAATATAATAAATTTCAGAAAATGAGTAGGCTTAAAAAGTTAGAAAATTTGAAAGTTTCATTAACAAATTGAGAAAAGTAGTAAAAAAGAAATTATGTCAACTTAGCTACCAGATGCTCTCACTTTAGTTGGGCAAAAGGAGAAAGTTATTGGCTTTTATTAAGATTAAGATTATGGATTATCTATTGTTCACATTGAAATTCACATTTTAGTTATTGCTTAAGTAAATGTAAAATTTCTATTAATGTATGGTTTTATCAATTCTGTTTGAGTGAGTTTTAATTTGTTTTATTCTACTTCATTTGATTCTCAGTAAACATAACTGCAGTAAACGTAAATCTCTCAGCAAATGTAAATCTTTTACTGTCGATTTCATATACTGACACATTTGTTGTTTTAATTTAATTTGACTTTAATTTATATAATAACCTCATTAATACAGATAAAGAATAGTATACAACACAGCTTGGCCAGCTACAGGCCTCAGGTCAAATCTGGCCTGCTTCCTGTTTTGTAAATTAAGTTTTATTGGAACACAGTCACTCCCATTTGCTCACTTAATGTCTATGGTTGCTTTCTTGCTACATCAGCAGAGTTGAATAGTTGCTACAGAGAAAGGCCTACAAAGCCTAAAATATTTACTGAAAAGGTTTCTCAACCCCTGATATAGAAAGTCAATGTAATTATTTTATTTCTAAATGAGTTATGGTTTTAGGAGCCTTCAAAGACTATAGGAAAACCTGTAGAACAGATTTTTTTTGTATATGGTAAAATATACATACATATAAAATTTATCATTTTAACTATTTTAAAATGTACAGTTCACTGGCGTTAAACAGTGTTTTGTACCTATTACCACTATCTAGTTCCAGAACTTTTAACACTCCAAACAGAAACCCCAATACGTATTAAGATGTCATGTCCCATTTCCTCCTAGCCCCAGCTCTTGGAAACCACTAATCTGCTATCAATGGATTTGTCTATTTTGGATATTTCATATAAATGGAATCATACATTGTGTGACCTTTTGTATCTGGCTTCTTTCACTTAGCATATTGTTTTCAAGGTTCATCCATATTATAACATGTATGAGTACTTCATTATTTTTATGGCTGAATAACATTCTGTTGTATGGATGTACCACATTTTGTTCACCCAGTCATCAGTTGATGGTCATTTATTTTCCACCTCTTGATGAAATAGTATTCCTCTGAACATTCAAGTACAAGATTTTGTTTGAACAGTACTTTTTAATTCTTTTTAGGTATATCCCTATGAAAAGAATTGCTGGGTTGTATGCAACTCTATCTTTAACTTTTTAGGAATCACCAAACTATTTTCCATAGCAGCAGCACCATTTTACATTCCCACCAGCAATGTGTGAGAGTTTCAATTTTTCCACATTCTCACCAGCACTTGTTATGTTACTCTGATTTAAGCCACCCTTGTAGGTGTGAGGTGGTATCTCATTTTGCTTTGATTTGCATTGAACATCTTTTCATGGGTTTGTTGACTATATCTATATCTTCTTTGGAGAAATGTCTATTAAGTCCTTTGAATAATTTTTAATTCAGTTACTTGTTTTTTGTTACTGTGTTGTAAGAATTCTTCATATATTCTGAATATATTCTTATCAGATTAATGATTTACAATTTTTTTTTTTGCATTTTCTGGGCTGTCTTCACTCTTGATAGTGTCCATTGAGTCACAAAAGTTTTTAATTTTGATGAAATCCAATTTGTATATTTTTTTCCTCTTGTTGCTTATGCTTTTGGTGTTGTATGTGAGAAACCATTGCCAAATCTAAGGTCATGAATATTTGCCCTTATGTTTTCTTCAAAGAGTCTTATAGTCTTAGCTCTTATATTTGCATCTTTGATGCATTTTGGGTTAATTTTTTAAAATGATGCGAGGGCATTTGCTTATCACAGCATAATTTATTGAAGAGAGTATTCTTTCGTCATTGAATGGTACAATATTGTTTTGATTACAGTAACTTTGTGGTAAATTTTGAAATCAGAACGTGTGAGTCCTTCAGTTTTCTTTTTTTGGTCAAGATTGTTTTAGCTATTGGGGTGCCTGGGTGGCTCAGTCACTTAAGTGTTTGACTCTTGATTTCAGCTCAGGTCATGATCTCATGGGTTGTGAGATTGAGCCCCGCATTGGGCTCCGTGCTCAGTGAGAGTCTGCTTGAGATTCTCTCTCCCTCTGTCTTCCTCACCCACTCCTTCTGCCCCTCCCCCTGCTCATGCATGCTCTCTCTCTCTCTCAAATAAATCTTTTTTTTTTTTTTAAAGAATTTTATTTAGTTGACAGAGAGAGAGCCAGCGAGAGAGGGAACACAAGCAAGGGGAGTGGGAGAGGGAGAAGCAGGCTTCCCACTGAGCAGGGAGCCCAGTGCGGGGCTAGATCCCAGGACCCTGGGATCATGACCTGAGCCTAAGGCAGACACTTAACAACTGAGCCACCCAGGCACTCCTCAAATAAATAAATCTTTTTTAAAAAAGATTGTTTTAGCTATTCAGGGCTCCTTGCAATTCCATATAAATTAGTTTTCAGAGTACAGAATTGGTTAAATTTATTCCTAAGTGTTTTATTCTTTTGATGCTATTTTAGATGAAATTTTTTTTGACTTGTTCATTGATAGTGTATAGCCATACAGTTGGTTTTTGTGTTTTAATCTTGTAGCCTGCACCTTTGTTGAATTCATTTATTAGCACTAGTGGGGTTTTGTTGTGGATTTTCTTTATATAAGATCATGTCATCTGTGAATAGTAACAGTTTCAGTTATTGCTTTCTAATTTGGATGCCTTTATTTCTTTTTCTTGTCTAATTGCTCTGGCTAGAGCTTTTAGTACAGTGTTGCATAACAGGGCAAAAGCAGGTATCTTCATCTTGTTTCTGATCTTGAGTAAAAGCTTTCACACTCACCATTGAATATGTTAGCTGCAGATTTTTCATAAATGTTCTTTATCATGTTGAGGTAGTTTGCTCCTATTCCTAGTTGATATTATGAAAGAGTGTTGGGTTCTGTTAAATGCTTTTTCTGCATCAGTTGACAGGATCACATGTTTGGTTTTTTTTCCCCTTCATTCTTTTAATGTGTATTTTATTATTTATTATTTGTACATTGAACTATCTTTGTCTTCCTGGGGTAAATTCCATTAAGTCATAGTATATAACCCTTTTAATATGTTGCTGGATTAAATTTCCCTAGATTCTGTTGAAGATTTTTGCATGTGTATTTTTTAGAAATACTGGTCTGTACTTGTGATGTCTTTGGCTTTGGTATTAGGGTAATGCTGGCTCATAAAACAGGTTTGGAAATGTTCTCTTCTATCTCTTGGGAGAGTTTGAGAAGGATTCAGTTTTTCTCATGTTTGGCAGAATTTACCGGTGAAGTCATCTTGTGCTGGACTCTTCTTTATTATGAGGTTTTGGATTACTGATCAATACCTTTAATCGTCATAGGCCTATTCAGATTTTCTGTGTCTTCTTGAATCAGTTTGGTAGTTTATGTGTTTCTAATTATTCATTTCTTCCGGGCTATTCAATTTGTTGGATTACTATTGCTTGTAGTATTCTTTTATACTTACATTCTTATTTCTGGAAAATCAGTAGTAATTCACTTTTTTTTTTTTTTTGGATTTTATTTATTTATTTGAGAGCAAGCACAAGAGAGAGAGAATGCACGTGTGTACCTGTGCTTATTCTGGGGGTGGGGAGGGGGTAACAGAG